CAGTCTATTAATACAAAAATTAACTTAAAATACCGAAATCTGCCGGCAAAACATGTTCGCTTTTATTATCCTGCTGCCTGCAGTTACTTGAAAGCCGCCTTCCAGCTGCGGTGGCAAACTGTGAGGAGGCGACCGGGCCAGAGGCTGCTGTTGAAGGGGATTCCTAGTGACAGTGCACCGCCGGTGTACGGGGGTCTGAGCGGCTCAGACAGAAATAATATTGGAAGGCAGGATGGTTATCTGGATGAACTGACTGCACTGACGATGTTTTCAGGTGGACTTTCTCACGGAAAATAGATTTAAACTACTTTTTACCCACTGATTACAGCAAATATAGCTGCCATTGTTACAGGCAAAGAAAGGATAGAGTAGCTCTGCAAAACGTGCATCAGACCCACATTTTCCACTGCGCAGCCAGAGCAGCAAAGATGCTTCAGCCGTGCATCAGCACTAAACTGGTACAAGCATAAAAAATAAAGCAGTATGCGCATTTTTGCATCTTTAGGTGTGAACGTCGATTCGTTCATGTGTCAGGTTACGTGCACAGGGGGGAGGAACAAGCAGAAGACCATGATTGATGTGTCATGGAACCAGTCGTGTACAAAGGACCGTCTTTTGTGATTGGTTGGGGTTACTCATTGATTTCTCACTGTAGCGGGGGCCATTTATTTTAGTTTCACTTCCAGACCTTCTATTTCACTGCTTGCTAAGCGGCTGTGGGGAGATCTTTAGGCCACATGGTAAAAAATGCATCAGAAAAGCACCTTTAACTTGGCTTCGCTAAACTCTCCTTAGGGGTGAGTGTGTATATGAATCATCAGCTATATGTACGTACGTATGTGAATGGTTTTTTCTCTCTTGCCCTGCGTTAGAATGAGGATCTGGGATGTGTATCTCGCCAATTGACAGTAGGAGAAGCATCCCCTGTGACATCGCTTAGGATAAGGGTGATGGAAAGTGGATGGTTGGATGATTAGTTCTTAAATATAACTATATGCATAAGCATTAAATAAACTAAAATAATACATTTAGACAAACATTTGACCTCTTGTCACTTTTTTCTCAATACTTCACTCACTTCTAAACCGATGTTTCCAACTAACAAATTACATCGCTGTGTACATGTGATGATCAGTTTTGCTGTTAGTCCCCACCACTGGAAGTCAGCTCAGTCTTTTTCCGCAATGGAAATCTAAAGTAGTTTTTATTAATTTAAGCTTGGAAAAGCTTCTCAGATGCAGCATCAGACAGAGTGTGCAGCCTGTCCATAAAGATGTCCAAATATTTGGGTACAACTCAGATATGGGAATGGTGGGGTGGAGAACTCCTACAAAAATACAGCACTAGTAGTTTTCAGTCAAGGATTTCTCCCCAGGTTTGAGTCGCTTTGGCTAAAAGACCATTTTAATGTTTGTCACAAGGAATGCAAAACCTGCAAAAATGTCTCCAGTTTCATCTGCTTTTGCTCGCCTTGAAATTTGCTTGGCCAGCGAAAGCATTTCACATGGCAGGTGAATTCATGAAAGGCTCCTTCATCATGGAGTCTGCTGGTCGTTGGTTTCACCTCATCATGGCGCACATGGACTTGCAAAGCGACTCACTGTGTTTTTTTTACCTTAGAAAGTCGAACAAAGCTTTCAGGGTTCCGACGTTCATCAGATTCCGAGAGATAGAAACTGTATGGGGGTTACGGCCACCTCATAGGCTGACCATCTGAGCTGGAGGTAGGACGAAGAAACAGTCCTTCTAGGGCTAAATCAAAATGCCTTTAATTGAAAATTTAAGCCACCATAAATCCTGAGAGCATTCCCTCATCCTTCGTCTAAATTATTTTCTCTTTCATTTTTAATAAAGGTTTTCTCTGCTGCCTCCTTCACTGTAGCTCACGGCCACATCTAGTCGGACTGAATTTTGCGATTTGAATTTAACAAGCTTTTATTTTTTAACTTTTCCAAATTTCACTTCGCTTAATTTGCAGGTAAGGCGGAGATCAAATTTAAGCAAAAGCGTGCCTAACTGTGTCACCTTTGCCCTGTTTGCCCCAGATCCACCTTCTATGTAGAGATAACATGGGAATCCTCCATTCCAGAGGCAAAGTTCATGTTCGGTGTGAACGTACCTTTAGATGTGCATTTGATTAGATCAATATCGGAATTTGGTTTCTGTTTCCATTGTTTAAAGGTACACTATGCAACCGGTGTTGATTTTCCAGCGAGGCTCCCCCTAGAGGGCGAAAGTAAAAGTGCACTGTCGTAAATATGCACAGCTGTTCTCCTGGTTTCTCCGTCAAGCCAGGCGCGGTTGTTTTGAG